GTTAGGTGGTTCGACACGAGGCTTGCGACCTGGATTTCTGGATCTGAGCCTAATTGCCAACCCTGAGAAAATAGCGCCTCCGCTGCCTGCAGGAAACGAATTTCACTCTCCCGCGTTGTTATCGGGTCCAACTTTCTGTAACCTATCAACCGATAATTGGGATCATCGGCGTATAATATCGCCCTCAGAATAGCTGAGAGGTATGTTTCTAACCAAAGTTCGGGCGTCGGTTCGTGTCTAGTGGGTTGAAATTAAAACCAGGCGTAGACGTATCAAAAGAAAGATATCGAACCGTTCTCCTCGGATATCAATGACATAGTCGTGCACAGTCCCAGGAATCTTCACATCGACTCTCATATCCACCCTTGAAAAGGCATTATAGCAGCAGTACACACCACTCCTGACTTTCCATTGAGGGTTTTTGGCGAACCATGTAGAGTTATCCTCCAAGGCATAAGTGAGGGAATTCAGGTAGGCGGCTAATGAGGCCGACGTGGAGGCATCAACACCAGACACGTAATGATACGAGCCAATCTACACCCCCAATGTGTATGATAAGTTGTAGAGAAACATGAAATTATGTCAGCCCATGGATTACGCGGATTATAGCAATGGCAGGCCACTTACGTCCTTTTGGCCAGACTTCCCATTGCTCTTGATGACGTGACATAAATCTGGTGGACCTAGTTCTCTAAAGGATGCTGTTCTGGAGTATGAATACAAGTCGATTGTACCTCAGAAGCTGATGGCGGACCTAGCGTTTCCGTTCGCGCCGTTAGGCATTCCCCTAACTCTACCTAGATTCAAACGGCCATTAGATTGAGGATCACCTGAGAGACAAGAAACAGACAAACCTCAAAAAATTCGGGGACATCCTTGAATTCCATAGCCAGTTGGCGAGGTCCAAGGTTTGACGGTTCCCAAATCTCAATTTTGCTTTCGACCAAGACACCATGCGAAATTCTTTGGCAGTGCTCAGCAAGGCATCCAGACGACCATTGACAGCTAAAATGGCCAATAAGGATTACTACAAGGGTATATATCGCATATCTTGGTGACTACATGACGCAAAAGTTGATCATGCTACTTGTTTGTAGGGAACCGACAAGGAACACTACCAGGAGGCGTGATAACAGGCCCACCTGGAAAACATACAAGACGTGGAAAATATGTATTAGATGATACCAAAGTCCGAGTATACATCAGTCCACCACCTAGCGTATTAGAAACTACAAAGGTATGTTCACCGTTTCTTGTCACGTGTCTTTTAATCAATAGATGAATAAAAAAATTTCTTCTTAACAGCTGCGACCTTTTGTATCTCGGGCTGCAGAGCTGCCTGTATCCCAGGAGCGAAAAGACCTTGGA